TGTGCTCCCACTAGAATCACCCTTCACACCCCGAGACCTTCTTCTGGGTCCATACGCTGGATCCTCTTACTGTCCCTTCCTTGAGACCAGAGATCTTTCACTCTCCTCTTTTCCTTATTCTCCAAATCCAAGTTACTGTTTCACCCTGCTGATAACTATGTTTCAAGTTTTTCCTTTGCCGTTCATCCCACAAGTGTCCCTGTCCCAGTTCTATGAGCAACCCTCAGGGCTGTAGCACCAGCTTCCTAACTTGTGGCCCTACTCACATTCATCCCTCAAATTCCAAGAGCCCCCATCCACATGGGAGCCAGTGAGCCCTCTCATGTGCACAGATATCCCATTCACTTCCTGTATCTCCTCCAAGCTAATATTCATTACCACACAAGTATTTATTCACCACCTATGAAGGTCAAGTATTGTTTTGAGAACTGGCAATATGGCAGAGAACAAAACAATGTTCTGCCTTTATGGAGCTACTAGTCTGAGGTAAAGCCATGGCTTGGCAGGGCCTACCACCAAGTTCTTGCTGGCTTCCTAGTTCTTCTGCTTCAGGTTCCCTACCTTTGCCTGGGCTCTGCTGGGACTATCTTCTACCCACCTCTGTCCTCCTTGGCCAGAACCCCACATTCAGTTCATCTGGTGTACTTTACAGAGGTGATCTCCAGGATAACCTAGTCCCAAATCTTAGCGCTGTGCATACTGTCTTGCTTCAGAGCTCATCTTAAAATGGAAATAGTGTGCCGGGTGGTGGTGCACGCCTTTAATCCCAGCACTCAGGAGGCAGAGGTAGGTGAATCTCTGTGAGTTCGAGACCAGCCTGCTCTACAAGAGCTAGTTCCAGGACAGCCTCCAAAACCACAGAAAAACATGCCTATAAATAAATAAATAAATAAATAAATAAATAAATAAATAAACGGAAACAGTGATGCATACCATATAGTTTGGTTGTGAAAATTAAGCTCAGTCCATAAAAAATGCTTAGCTACTAGGTGCATGACAAATGGTAAGGAAGCCTATAATAAATGGTAACTGTCTTTACTTTTATTTTAGCTTTGTTATTGTTACATTGTTATTGTAGCACTCATCTCACTGTTTTGCAATTACCTACCCTATTAAGCATACCTTAGTTTTTGTACCTTAGTGACTAACCTAGCTCAGCACGTAGTAGGGAGTTACTAAGTAAGTGTTGAGGGAAAGACACAAAAATCAGCTGATTTGGGCCTGTGGCTTGGGTTTCCCATGACAAGCAGAGTTATGGAGGAATAACAGCCTCAAAGACTCCCACTGCTATCTTTTTGACCAAGTATCTAATTGTGTACTGTTCTCATTGTGTGCACAAGAGCTGCAAAGGATTGAGCAAGAATGGAGAATTAAGTTGGGTTGAACTGAACTGGAGGCCAACTATTTACATTCCTTTATTCATTGACTCGTGGGGTCAAGACTCACAGCCTGCAATGACTACCCTAAAGCAGCCATTACCTTCAACCCCCCAGCCCTTTGGCCCACTGCATACCTTCCATTTGCCCTGGCTCCACACTACCATGTTCCCCTCAAAAAATGTTTCAGCTGAAGCCCAGGAAGCAAAGGAGTGCTTCAGGAAAAGGGGAAGGGGTGGAGAGGGGTTAGCACCTCCCTTCTTCCTTTGCTGAGATCAAAGCCAGTGTGTTCCCTTGAAGGTCGGCTAGCCCCTTTCATCTCCTGCCCCACCTGCCTGGATGGGACTACAGTGTGCCCATTTCCTTTTCTCCTGGAGCTGGAGGACAGTTCCAGGGTGGGGCCATGAGCTATTTCTAGTGTTAGCCAGATCCCTCTACCTCAACATCTTTTCTGCGTACCATGATTATGCCCCCCCCCAAACAATCAGAAACAGAAACTATGAGAAGTCAGTTTCTCAGCAGGCCCTAGGCTAACCCAATGGCTGAAGCAAGTGGGGAGGCCAGAAGGCTTGGTCTGGAAGATGAAACAGGCTCTTCTTTCTACATCTCAGCCCTGAGCGCTTTGCCCTGCATTCCTCAGAAAATAGAGGGGACATGGTTAAGCAAGGGCTTCTTGCCCCCAGGAGAGAAGAATTAACATTTATCAGAGCCCTACTATACCCAGGCTCCAAGTTAGGGACTTTGATAGATACTATCTCCTAACAGCCCAAACAGGTCAGCATTTATCATCCCTGGGGTGGAAATGATGAAACAGAGATTAACAAGCTTACCCCAGGCACACAGCTAAATCCAGGCGCCAAATTCCAGCTGTCCCTGACCCCAACACCAGTACTCTTTCCACCCTGCCACGTTGCCTCCAAAGCCCAGGGAAGCTGTTTGTGCTAAGATGACTGAATTATTCCACATAATTAACGAGACAGCTAGCTAAACCTTTAGCAAGTTAACTTAATTCAACATACATTTAAACAAAAACTGGGATGACTTGAATTTGACTCTGTGGGCTCTGCAAAGAGAACATGATAGAGTTTGTAGTCTAGCAGGGAGTATATAACAAGTGCAAACTTAGAACACAGGAACAGGAACTTTAAATTCAGCCTATCGTCTCACTTGGCCTCACCCAAGCTAAGCCTCCAAGACTGGAAGCAGCCAGCTGCCATGCATAACTGGCTTCTAACACAGGGACTTTCTTCAACCATCTGAGTCCCCCCAGGCCAAGAATAGTGCAATTTAGCAGGACCTGAGAAAAAGCGTATTTGATTGGCAAAGGTAGAGAGAAGTTTGGGAACCCAGTCTTGGCTGTTACCTGTAGTCAGTCTGCTTCAGCAAAGAATGGATTTTTTGATGACTTTGTCCAATGTGTGGCTGAATCAGTTAAAGCCAGGTGCAAATGAAGCCAGGATAAGAGGCTTAATCCTAGTAGAGCTGTTTTGTCACGTGGCAGGCAGTTTTGGCCCCAGCTGACCAAGTAGTTAGCAGCCCTGTGCTCTTTGCCAAAGGGGACTAAAGTAGCAAAGTGTGGGCAATCACATCAATCACATAGTAGGCATTCAAGTGAGAACGTGCTGTTCCAAACCCTTGGCTCCAGACAAACAGCTTACAGCATGCCTTGATGACCAAGGGTCTTTAGTATCATGTCGGCTTTGCACGTGGAGACAGCAGTAACTTCCTTTATATCTCAGCTAGGCACCCTGACTCATATTTTTATAGTACTGTGATGCCAAGGGTGTGGGTCTCCCCCAAAGAGCTGCTTTGATGCAGCTGCCTGTATTCTGTGGCTCTAAGCCTGTGTTTCCATTCCCATGAGATGAGCACATCACTTGACACTTCTCAGGAGACGAGGCCACCACACCTGTTTGAAGCCTTCTCTTCTACAACTTGAACTGAGGGGCCCTCCTTAGCTAAAAATAAAGGCTTCTCAAGTTTCTTTAGCCATGGTGTGTGTGGGGGGATGGTTTCTGCATGACTCCCCCAACTCCAGGTAACCCTGTTTTCCTATTTCATATAGGAATTTGATAGAGACTATCTCTACTCAAGGTAGCTTCCATCTCCATAATTTAGGGTGTCCGGAATTGTAGGGAATCACAGAGTAATACCTCTGGCAAGGACTAAGTGCCTGTCACTTTGTGAGTCAATTTGCATGCATGGCATGAGAAGCACTGGCAAAATCTTGGGAATTTTCCTTTAAATGAAACGTGTAAGATATCCTTTCATAGTATGCAAAAGCTATCTCCCCATGAAATTAATCTCATGGATTCCACAAAGACACTGTTACAGTCTCAAGATTGTTCCACAACATCTCCTGTGGTGCCAGATGTACATCCAGACTCCTAACAAGGATAATGTAAATGACAGTAGCAATAACTTTGGGTTCTTTGAGTGGCATCAAAGTCACTGCATAGCAAGATCCCTGTTTTCATGCCTGCTATACTGTTTGAGGTTTTGTTTTATTTTGTTTTCAGGGAGTTTGGATTCCCTAGTTTACTTACAACCTAACAATGTCACTATTGAAACACATCGTGTTAAGGCCCATATGCTCTCTCTCCAGAGAGTGCACACAAATACTATTTCTGTTTAAACAGAAAAAAACAGAAATCATAGCTTTGCATATTTCCCATTCAAAGACTGATCCCATTTGAATGATTCTCTTTGTCACACAGTGTTTTCCCCCAAGTGGGCCTTAACAGAAGCTAAAGCAGATATCGTGGCTTACCAGAGGTCACAAGGAGTCATCTGTGAACTAGAAATAGAATCCACAAGCCTTTTATTTTGATTCCTTGAATTTAAAAACATAAATTTCACTACAGAGAAAGGAAAACTTATGTAGAGTCTTAGTAGACCTATTTGCCATTCCTGGAACAGGGAATCCAAGGCAACAGAAGCTAATGGGCTATAAGGCCAAGAGATTAATAAAACCCAGGGACTGCCTGCCTTCAGAGAGCTCCTGTCCAGTGCAGAGAAGAGAGGATAGTCACTGCTGATAAGTATCTGTCCAGAGCTTATGAATACCTAGAGGTCCCTCCGTGCAGCTGGTACTGTGACCTGCAAGTGACATGCAAGCAAGCACTGTCTATCTGATCGGAGGCCATAAGAGAGGCACCAGCAGAATGCTATGGAGGTTGGCAGAGAACGAAGGACAGCTTTGTGAAGGAGGTGACATTTGAGCTGTGCCTGGAAGATGGGGAGGTTTTTCCACAGGCAGCATGGATTGGGGGTGCAGGAAAGCAATGAATTCTAAATAAGAGTAAAGCCTGGAGATAGCTTGCTAGAGTACAGGGAGAGTGAAGGAGCTATGGTCAGAGCAAAAAAGCTAAAGCCCAAGCAGAGGGACCCTTGACATCAAACTCCCAAATTTCACAGTGACTGTCACTGAAGGTCTGAATGAGTGAGCATAGTGATGTCACCAGGGCAGAGCTTCCTGCCACATCATGCCCCGCTGCCCTTGGAGGCTGCCCTAGCCCTTGTCAGGAATGGTGAGTTTCTTTTGATTGTCCTGTTTGTATGTGGTTTGGTTTGGAAGTTTTATATGGTTTTGTTTGTTTTTTGGCCTTTCTCTTTTCCTTACAGTTTTTCACAGCATATGGTCCTGATTATGTGCTGGAAATCACGCCAAGCTGCCGGCCAGACCGCAATGAGCCCCACCGAATCCAGCAAATCCTCAACTACATCAAAGGTGAGCGCCACCCTCCAGTCCTGCCCTCCTTATTCCACCCAGTGTGTGGTGGCCTGCCGCTGGGGGCTTCCTCAAATACCATTTGTCTTTTGGCAGCTAATCATTCCACTGACTTGGAAAGGAAACCTCTTTCTGGCCTGACATCTTGTAGCCAGAATTCTATACAAGCCATTCTGGTTGAGATTGTCACTTGGCTGACTAATGTCACCTTCAGAAGAACAAAAGGTTCAGCTTTAAGCCACTTCCAGAGGAAAATCAGTTCTACAATATTCCGAGAGCCTTTTTCTTTGAAAAGGCCAACAGTAAAACCATCTTTAAGGGGTAGGGTGTGTGGCTCAGTGGTACAGCATTTGCCTATCACTCCATCTCCAACACTGTGAAAAAGCAAAGCAAAACACAAACTCTTTTTAAGTTTAGGGATGTTCAAGTGAATTTAGACTTGCGGGGTTGGGACATGCTCTTTGCAGCATGGTCTAAGGGAGCACTGCAAGTCTGTGGAAGTTCAGTGATTACCAGGGATTTTGATCTTCTTCCATCCCAGGATAGAGAAGAATGGCAGTCATGGCTATAAAGTCCACTCACTCTTTGGGGCTCCTTTCCTCAAGCTTCCCATTAGAGCTCCCCTCACAGCCTCCCTGTTACTTCTTTAAGAGTTGCTTCTCATCTATCATTTAAGTATTTAGAGCAATAATTTTTCTGTTAACAGAGAGAGAGAGAGAGAGAGAGAGAGAGAGAGAGAGAGAGAGAGTTTGGATCCCTTATTTGCAGACTTAAGAAGCCAAAAGTTATCATATTGCCTGTCCCAAATAGTGCAATTCTCTTGTTTATTCATGAAATCACAAAATAGTGCCAGATCGCCCACTTTCGACTCCTCCCTGGGGTGTAATCCTGTCTGAAAAGAGGGCTGCTCAAGGCTGTGGTTTGTCTAAGGGAGTATGTAGTATTCTGAGGGTCTTTACACAGTGCACTTGATGACAACACAAATCCTGTAGTAAGGACTATATTTCCTGGGCTCCTTTGACCTGAGAACATTTACTATGCTAGGTATACTCACAGCTCATTGCCCCTTGTAAGGTCCTGTAACCCAACCTTCTTCTGCCTCTAATGTTTCAAATCACCTTCCTCTGATCTCCCAAGGACTACCAACTCTACAAATCCTCACTTTCTATCAAATCTCCCTCCCTTCTGCAGTCATTAAAACCTCTAAATTCCTTCTGTTGCTGGCTCTTCTCACTGTGCTACAATCTGGATGGAGATTGGAGATCTACACCTTTATCCTGTCTCCTGTCTGGTCCAGAAAACAGTCCCCATTTCCCCTGAGATGGAATCTGGACCTTTTTTTTTCTTATCATTCTTTCTCCTACCTTACCATTTTCCCAGCCAAGCTCCAAATTCTGGGGGCACCAGACAAAGCACTAAAAACAGAAAGCACACACACACCTCTACAGTGCCTGCTCCTACCTCATGTCTGCACGCGTGTCTGCCCTTGCCTCCCAGCACACATTCCCAGGCACATCTCAGAAAGTGGTGACATTTGCTGTTGGGGGAATGAAATGGCAAAAAGAGACGATGTGAGAAAGGTAATGCAGAGGGAAATGAGCTAGGGGAAAAAAAACTGAGTGAAGAATAAGTGAGGGTAACTCAAGATGAAAAGTGATACTGAGGGTTAGTTAAAACAAAAATAATATAATACACCCCAGAGTATGTGGAAGTCAAGTTTTTGAAGTGTATTAGCAAATAAAAGCAATATTGGGATAGTAACACGATGAATTTCAGCGGGAAGAAAACATCGGATCCAGGAACTGGGTCCTCAAAAGGGGCTGCATGCAAGCAAAATGAGATGTGGCTTAACAGCATTTTGTCTAAAAGAAAATTAGAGACAGTAGTTGACACAGAGTTCAGTATGAGTCACCGGGTCAAGGTGGCCTCCAGAGATGCTAATGCAGTATCGACCTCACTTTAAAAGGGCTCTAGACAAATAGGAACATGTTGCAGGAGGTCAGCCAGTCTGGGGAAGCACTGGAGCCCAAGCTCCAAGAGGTCTGCTTAAAGGAGCTGAGCCTTTGTGAGGAAGAGAAAACTCAGGGGAAATGAGCCCTGCCTCATTTCTCTGTGGGGCTATCACAGAACAGGACAAGGATCTATCTGGCTGTAGGGTACAGGGGTGGACCCATGAATGGGTGTCATAAAAAGGGCGGGTTTTCCTTCAGTAGGAGGAGTTTATAAAAATTAGACCTGTCCAAAGAGGAACAGGTGGCCAGCAGAGAATGAGAACCGTAATTACAGGTGGGGGAGGGGTGTAGAGGATCATTTGGCTGGAAAGGACTGTTTCCAGTGCTAAGATCTAGAACACGCTATACTGCAATGAGAGCCTAGAGAGAATGAAAAGGATCTAGTGAGGGCTTCGTTTGCCTGATGAGTCACCTTTGGAGTTGGGAGGGAATGCTGAGTGTAGGAAAGAACTGACATGGAGAAAAAGAGGAGGGAAGTCAGTAAGAATAGGTGACAAGGAGCCAGAGGGTGGGCAACAAGGACAGTGAATAGAGAATACTAGAAATGCTCAGATTTTTCCATTCACTATCCCTTTTAACGGAGTCTTTGTGTCCCTAGCCATTCCAATTAACAAAGCACATGAGTCCAGAACTGAAAAAAAAAAAAAAAACTCAGCTCAACCTAGAAGAATTGAGGCTAGAAAGAAGTCCAAATGCTGTTCGAAATGGCCAAGCTAACCTGCTGTTCTGATACTGTGCCCTCAGCCTAGTGACGCAGGCTGCCATCAGATAGTGTGTTGCCATGACAATGGTCAGTGTGGAAAGGCTTTTGAATTTTCTGTATTCTGAAAGATTTCCTTAACCTATCTTCCAAGACTGTCATTTCTTCTCGCATATAAAAAACTCCACGATGCTGGCTAATCGTCCCCACCTCATTAAAAACCAAGAGCAGGGTGCAGGTCACAGGTTGTGTAGGGAAGGTGAGAGAGCATGGCGGGGGTAGACTGATTCAGCCCCTTTACAACGGAGTTTATCCCCAGCATGTCTATCTAGTCAAATTAGTTCAGCCTGGGATTGTTTGTTTGTTTGTTTTGGCTTTAGTTTGGTGTTTTGTTTCTGTTTTCTCACTACATCCCTCAGAATCATAAATAGTGAGATTTTCGCCTATTGAAAATCGAACCCCAGAAAATTCCTTTTCCAGGTTGCATGCATTCTACATGCCACAGGAAAACTAAAAGCAGAGGCAAATATGTATTGCACCTATCCTAGCTTTCTTTTCTGCCCATCAGTTTTAATGAAAGAAAGGGGGGGGAAAGGATAAAATAAAAACACAGAGAGGCAATTTAAGCTACTTACTTTAGACACAAAAAAGGTTTGTTTTCTGGTCCTCCTTGTGTCAGTGAACTATCCTAAAGGTACATTTCATTGCTCGCAAGAAAGCGCACGTTAGAGGATGCATGGCTGAATACAGTTCATGACTGCTAGTGCGAAATCATCCTTGCCCCATCCCCACATGCTTGGAGTTGTTTGCCTTTCCTCTGGTTAACATACTCCAGAGGAATTAGCTCATAGTGAACCTTCCAGAGTTGGAACAGTGCTGATGTGATCAATCCCCAGAGGGGCCCAGCTAGCTCTGCATGGGGAAATGGGGTAGAGGTAGGAGGTTGGCTGTGCTGTAGTACCAATGCTATTTGAAGCAAGTAGGGGCCACCTGGGGCTCTGAGCTTGGGCATGTCAGCCAGACTCAACCCTCTGCAAAGAGGGGAGGGTGCACTTGTATGTGCTGGAATTAAAACTGGAGGTTTCAACACATGCTTAGGGTTCCCAGAACTTGTCCTGGGATCCAGAAAAAAAAGTGAGTGGGATCAAGAGAAAGGGAGGAAGAAGGGGAAAGGAGGAGTGTACAAGAGGGGAGAACAAGGCCTTGGTGCACCTGCCCTTTCCAGTCCTTGCTAAAGAAAGCTGGCAGTACAGCAGCCTCTGCAGGGCAGGCTGGGGAGGGACCAACAGACTGCTTAAGTGTGGGGAGAGACACAGGTGAGATAATAAGACAATGGCTACTATGTCTCTTCTAGATGAAGAAACTAAGGTTCAGAGAGAATGAGTGGCTTAGCCAAGATCCCCATCCTTCATTCAGCAAGTTCGTACTTCCAGTGGGGGTGGGGGGCACACTGTGCTATGAGGGCTATTGCGGACATTTGAACCTGCCTCTGTCTCAGTGGGAACTTAGGAGTCAGTCTCTGACCTTCTTGGTTCCCCTGTCAAATCTACTCACCATCCCTCGGTGCTTTATCCAATGGCCCACCCCCAGTAAACCCTTCTCACCCCACGCTGCTCACCCTGCTGCTTCCACGTAGCTCTGATCCAAAGCACCCGAAATCTCGTGTCTCCCTGAAAACAAGAGGAAAATATTCGTGAGCAACCCCTAAAGTTCCGGTTCCCAAGCCATGCCTTTTAATGCCCCCTCCCACACCATACTTTCAACAGCCCCGCCAAACTGAAATCTGGAGCTTTGAACTCCATTCTGAACTAGGTAGAGAAGTGGGAGGAAGGGCTAGAAGGAGCTAGTTCCTCAGCTCCTGCCACCTCCAGTGTGCTATGGCCACCAGCTCTAGTCTGCTATTTACAGTTCCGCAGCCCCATGCTGAGACCCTTTGCACATCTGCTGCTAATATTCTTGGGAGAACTATTGTGTGGGGGATGGAGAAAAAACGCACCCCCTATTGCAGCCTGAAGTCTGGAGGTAGCATCCTTCTATGGGTTAGCAATGAGGCTCAGACTTCTAGAACTGCTGGAGCCTTAAGCCCAAAGGTGTGCTCTGCCAGAAAAAAACACTACCCCATGGAAACGAGGCTTCCCCACACAACCATTCTTGGTGTCTTGAGAAGCATGAAAAGGACTTGGGAGGCAGAGTTGGCCCCAAGGACAGACTGACCAGTTACTTTCCAGTTTCTTGGAAGGACTTTGGAGCAGGATTGTGGTGAAAATCCTGAGCCAGTTTGCAGGGCT